AGAATCTCTTGAATCTATCTCCTCAAAAATAAATCCGATTTTACCATTCTTCCTATTTTTCATACCATGATCCAAAATCAATTCAGGATAAAAATAAGGATATTTCGTTTTGATAATGCTAAAGACTTTCAACCAAACCCTTTCCTCTTACTTCCAAAGTGAAGAGATCATTTATGAGTCCTCCTGCGTTCACAACCCACAACAAAATAAGGATGCAGAGAGAAAATAATGGTCACCTTCTAACCTCCACTCGAGCTTTTATATTCCAATATCATACACCCAAATCCTATTGGGGGGAAGCCCTACTAACTACAACTTATCTCATAAACTGACTACCTTCAATAGCTCGAGGACTCAAAACTCCAATGGAGATTTTGTCGTCATTCTACCCCGAGTTTCAAACCCAAAAATCTTTGAGTGCACTGCCTATGTTCATATTCACAGCCAAAATAGAGAAAAACTAGATCCAAGAGCACTCAAATGCATCTTTGTTGGCTATTCAGCTACCAAAAAAGATTACAAGTGTTATCATCCACCTACAACAAAAAATCCTTGTCTCTATTGACGTTATCTTTGATGAACAAAATTCTTATTTTTTCAAGCCTCATCTTCAGGGGGAAACTGAACTTAAGAAAGATGAGGAAAATGAACTAACCCCTCTTGACCACCACCTCAAACCAATCCACCTGAAAACCAAGATAGGGAAACAAAAGACAATGTTGTCATTAGATTTGGGAAGGTATACTCCAGGTGTACAAGTTCAGATTGTGCTCCAAAGCAGATCCAAGAATCTGAACCATCTCCTGGAAATAAGGTAAGCTCACCACCTCCATTATACCCTATAAGCAACTCTATATCTTTCAACCACTTCTCATCCTCACACAAAATTTCTTGGTTACACTAGAAGATATATAAATTCCTAAAGATATTTCTGAGGTCTTATCTGATAAAATTTGAAAAATGCCATGATAAATGAAATGCAGACCCTAAAAAGAATAATACATGGGAGATCATCAATCTACCAATAGGGAAAAAATCGATCAGTTGTAAATGGATATTCTCTATATAGTATAAAACTGATGGCACGCTAGAAAGATACAAGGCAATACTAGTGGCAAAAGAATACACTCAAATATATGGCATTGACAATCAAGAAACCTTTGCACCTATAGCCAAGATGAACAATGTCAGAATACTACTCTCACTAGCAGCCAAATATAACTAGCATCTGGAACAATTGTATGTGAAAAATACATTCCTGCATAGGGATCTCGAAGAAGATATATTTATGAAAATAACATCAGGGTTTAAGTAAAAATCTAAAGGTAACATGTTGTGCAGATTAAAAAAGGCTCTATATGGGCTCAAACAATCACCAAGGTTCTGATTTAGAAGATTATCAAAATTCATGCTTCTTAATGGGTATAAACAAAGTTAAGGGGATTATACATTATTCTTTAAACACTTAGACTCAAGGGGAATCACAATATTATTAGTAAATGTGGATGATATTATCTTGACTGGAAATAATGAAGAAGAGAAAGTTAATTTAAGGAAAATTCTTATCAAGGAATTTGATATCAAAAAACTTGGTAGACAAATACTTTCTCGAAAATGAAGTAGCCCACTCCAGTCTCTAACAAAGGAATCTTCATTTCACAACAAAAATACATTAAAGATCTTTTAAAAGAAATTGGCAAATTAGCTTGTAAACCAGCACCAACACCATCAGAACCAAATATTAAATTGGGGGAAGCAAAAGAAGATCTAGATGTAGATAAAGGGTCTTACCAGAGACTTGTAGGAAAATTGATCTACCTTTCCCATACCATACCAAATATAGTATTTGTTGTAAGCATAATCAATCAGTTTATCTAGAATCCAAAGCAGGCTCATATGCAAGCGGTAGACAATATACTGCACTACCTTAAAGGAAACTCAGAGAAATATATTCTCTTTAGAAGAAATCACGAAATAACCCTAGAAGCATACACGGATTCTGATTATGTGGGATCACCAGTAGATGGAAAATCTACCTCTGGATACTGCACATTTCTTAGAGTGAACCTAGTTACATGGAGAAGCAAGAAACAATATGTGGTGGCAAGATCTAGTGCAGAAGCAGAATATAGAGCTATGCCTTTAGGAATATGTGAGTTACTGTAGATCAAGATGATTCTAGAAGACCTAAGGATCCCATGAAGCTATATCATGACAACAAATAAGTAATTAGCATAGCCCACAATCTAGTCCAGCATGACAGGACCAAGCATATAGAAGTGGACAAACATTTCATTAAAAAAAAATTAGACAATGGTCTAATATGTATCAACCATGTATTATCAAATGATCAACTTGCAGATATCCTTACCAAATGGGTTGGATAACTCTGTCTTTCTCAGAATGATTGACAAGCTAGGAATGACTGATCCATATTCTCCAGTTTGAGGGGGGCCGTTAAAATCCTAGCCGTTCAACCTAAAAAGAAATCCCACTGCCACAAAGTATGATCCATGGAAAGCTCTCTCAATCCAGCCATAATTACTCTCCTGATGATTTCTTTCCAAAGTAGACTAGTTGAATTAGGAAGGATCATATTGGGGCTATTATGTATCAATTTGAAGTTATTTGTTACTTTGTTAAGACATTTTGTATAGATCTAGAAATAGGGATAGTTGTATACAATAAAATTAAGCTTTTCCCTCTTATTCCTCTCAAATTCCCGTTTCTAACATTATAGACAAAAGATTTCTAACACAAAAAATAGAGGTCAATATTAATCATTAAATTAAAGATCCGGAAGCTTCAGATCTAGTCATAAGAGCTGGAGTTCAAAGATTTTATTTTTTTTCTTATAAACCTAAATAAAGCTCTCTTTCTTTTCAAAATTCGTCACCAGAGGAAAGACATATTTGAAAAGGAAAAAAAATTAGGTAAAGATAAAAGCATCACTTTCACTATCCTCTAACTAATCCATAAATAGGATTATTACTAAAGCTAAGATTAATAAAATTGTTAGAATGATCTAAGAAAAATTTCCCTTTGGAAAGTAAATTCAGCCTAGATACCAACACTACTAATTAAATCTTGCAACAGACCACAGATGAGAAAGAAAGAGAAGCAATGGCCTAATCAATCAGAGGATGATCGAAGATAGAAGTCACCGCATAAGGAATTTGATGATTAATTAAATGGATATGAATACTACAAAAAAGAAATTCAAATAGAAACAATTGGTGATTTTTCCATAATATCAAAGAAAGGTGATCATTGCAACAATTATTGATATAGCTACACCAAAAAGCAAAAACCCTACGATAGTCAAGATCGCCTGAAAGGTTTATAAGCACATATAAAAAAAAGGTTTATAAGTACATGTTTAGCATCCAATGAACCCACTGAAAGCTGACCCAAAAGAGTTACGTTAAAGAAGAATCTTATGGATCAAGATTAGATCTCTCAAGTAGAAATTTACAACCAAGTGAAAATTACAAAAGAGAAGCTAAGTTTCAATTCCTTCATTAGAGAGCAAGATAGCCCACAACCCATGAAAGCTCAAAGGGTACAGTAGAGGAATTATTGCCAAATAATACCAAAAAATACCGTAGGGCAAACACCTAAACTGTAGGACAACCAAACGAGCCCTTAGGCACAGCAGCCGCCATTAGAGAAATAGGATGATCCCTTGAAAGCGACAAAGCTGCCATCCTATTCCTAACAAAACAAGTCCCACCAGATTGGGGCCAAAAAGAAATTAGTGTTAGATTGATGAATCAAGAACCGCAGAGAAACATCCAAACCCACATAGTAGATGAAGAATACCTAAAACACAAGAAAAATACAAATACTTTTGAGTAACCAAACATCACCATAGGGGATTCAAGAATTGCCTAATAGGCCTTTCTCCCTGAGCCCCTAACTTCAATGGATGGTGCCTATATAGTTCATTCATACATATCTTGAACATCTTTTGTCCCCAGAATTTCAATTTAACTATATCTAAAGCTGGCTTAATTAGATTATCAAAATATCACACCACATGAAATTCACAACCAGGGCTCAGATAATGATATCTAATTGGAAGTGATCTGATTACTCAAATGTCAAGACACAATTGTTAAAGAGAGAATAGATGAAATGAAGAGCGCATTGCCCAATAGATACAGAGAAATAAAACACAAAACATGTAGCTTAAGATTTGAAAACCACAGAAGATCGATAGGGCTTTGCTTGAGCTTCAAAAATAAGAATTCAAATCAATCTTCATGACACAAGCATTTTTTTTCTCTTACCTCATCCAGAGCTCAGTGCTCTCTCGAGCAAATCATGTTTCTCATATTATGTGACAGCCATTAGCAATCACCTGCATTGCAATCTTCCAAGGAGAAATAATAGGGGAGATGAGATCTCATTGTCATTGTATACAATTTGTGGCAGAAAAATTGTCTCATCTCTGTTGGGAAGGGAAAAAAAAACCTTTTATTGCAATAATTATTAGGAGTTTCTCTCCAAAATAAAATAATATATGTGAGCCGAACACAGCGCAATTGCAATGTTATTCATGAGCAACTAAATAAATAAATACAGTCCCTATTATTATCAACTCTTGGTGGCTTCATATATAACCTGTATTAGTTTAGACAAATGATTTTTAAATTAAAGGTAAAAATTCATTAACCAAATTGATAATACAAGATAAAATATTATTTCAAAGCAAAAACACTAAGAGGCCTATAGAAAAAATGAAATGAAGGTATTAAGTTACATGCATTGACAATTTAATAGCAAACAACATGAGGCATACCAAGAAAAAAAGAATCAACCATCATCAATCTTTCATTTGAATGGATCACATTTGACAATATTTTTAGCAAAGAATTGTGTAGATTTTGAACTTTTAATGTAAGCCTTTTTTATCCCTTCCACAACACCGGTAGAAAAGAGAAAAAAAAGTCCTCATTCTAAACGGGCACATCATAATCATCATATTTCAGAAATTATCTAAGAGAGTATCTAAATCTGACTTCATACTCACTGGTACGCCATGAGTTAAGGAAATATACAAATTATTGTTTCTGCCATTAGGGATAATATATAATGAAGAAACAACAATCATTTTTCATGTTGAATTGTGATCTAGTTATGTATATTGGAAATTCATTCAGCATAGCAGACCCCACAAAACAGTTAGGACATGACTAGTGATGACACTAAATTCATTTAGCATGTCTGCAGAGACCACTATGTGGCTTCAGCATACAGGATATCAACCACCGATAATCTTCCAAGGCCTTCTCTGATAGTGGCTCTAGAAACTCACATTTTTCTAAAATTTCAGGAGGAGGTACCCCATCCACAAGATTAGTATCCAGCTTTGGCTTCCCTTCAGCAGGCTCTAGCCGTTCAATTGGAAGGCATTCGAGTGCAAATGGAGAAGCTCCTGAGATTACTTCTTGCCGGAACGGCAGTGCTCGTGCAGTCTGTAAACAGAATTCAATCCATTGATGTAGCAGTGGGGATGGACCTCTTACTCTCCCACCAATCCGGTCAGTATTGAACTTCGTCGCAGCAGGTGTCACCTGAAGAACGGAAAGAATTATCATAGAAATGGCTAACACAAATTTTGTACACTACAAGCAGGGAGTTAGAGTTTCATAAATGGCAAACCAAACATAATTTACTGCCATAATGAATGATATTTAAGAGTGGTAATTTTTCTAACAAAATACTTACAGGCCTTGATGAAGATAATAAGATGCACGCATGATACTATACTATAAGAGAATTAAAAAGATACCCAGAGGTCAGCCCATATACTACTGCCAGATTTGGGAATAACCACAGCCACATTAGCCATGCGCTTTGCAGCAGGAATGACATCGCTGCTCCACCCTACAGCAACCCACACGTCTCCTCCTCCAAATGACTTCAAATAATGCACACTATCAAAATAGCGCACCTGAAAAATAAAGAAGAAGAATATTCAGCATCATGAAAGAAATATCAGGAATGAAACATCATATATTCATCTCGCTTCTTTTACAATGCTATCTGAGGAAAAAAAAAAACGCATGCTAGCTCAGCATAAATGTCAGCAAAATGCACCGGTATTAATATAGTATGAGCAATGGTATAAAGAGTGAAAGCGTCAATAAAAAATATTTCATCCCTATGTAAAATGACACATGAGCATCAATGCACAAAGCGAATGTTTCATCATTTTAATATTGTATATTTAAAAATAATAAATATATTATGATGATATAAAATTAAAGAAATATTAAAAAAAAATTCATTCTTAATAAGATACAAGCTTTTATCATTTTCAATAGTCTCATTAATGTAGCACATAACAAAATATGGTCAAATTAACATGGAAGTTTGTTATGTATTATCTATTTATATTGAAATAGCATTCTTATAATAAATAAGCATTATAGAACAGGCTTAAAATGAACATGAGTTATAAATAAAGAATACAAGATGAAAACTTAAAATTAAAATTATTAAATTATGAGCATATTTCACTATTAAAATAGAGAAGACTAGTAAAAAAATAGGTGCTGCACTTGGGTGAATTAGGAATAAATAGATAGAATAAATAGTCCAAACAAAAGGGACAATTGCATAGATAACACTCAAATTTTAGCTATTTACAAAAATAATGACCACCTACCTCCATTTTTTAAATTCTCACTCTAAATCAAACTTCACAACAAAACCTCAACTCATAATTTTCACTTTTATCAAATTCCTAATAGTTTGATTGTGCCACACACAAATATAGGGATTTGGTAGCTCAAAAAATTTTCATAAGTGCTAGTTTTGTAAATAAATAATATTTAGATGCTATATCTATAATTCAAAAAAAAAGCAAATTAGTAGTAATGTATAGATAAATAACAACAACATCATGTCTTTATCCCACTACGTGAAGAGTAATGTTTAGATAAAGTGAGGTGAAATATCAATTATGACAAAAAAATGATGAGGCGGAAATAAAAAGTTTTTTTAGGAGATCTTGGGAATCAATGAAAACTTTTTTTTTTTTAATAGCAATTCTATTTCCCTTCCCTTTCCTTCCATTAGAATAGCATTAAAAGTTGAATTAGGCTATCAGAATTTAAGAAAAATTGAAGCATAAATTTTTCATGCATTAAAGTGCAGCATGAAGTGTACGCTTCACATTAGGAAGTTTATGTGTCATACTACAAATGTGTTGATGTATACACTTTAAAGCGCTTTGGATCACTTTACTTCAAAGTGCGTTTTTGTACTCTTTAAAACTCACTTTTTTAGACACTGGGCTATGATTTAGAGCCCAAGTAAAGTAGACACGCATCCTCAGCACATAAAAAAACACACCAAATTTTTATGATTAGAAGAATTAAAACCAACACAAATGTCTGATCATGACTCTTTAAATCATACCTGTTTTTGGAGTGATATTAAGTTACGCAAAGCATTATCTCTCCCACCAATAACTTGTAAATCAATATCTTTAGTATTATAAGATGCTCCCATACGCTTCAAAATGGCACCAACAACCTCCCTAGGAGAATCTATCATTGAAATCTTTCCAGTAAGTTCAGGCCTCCATAAATCATCCCAGTCCTGCAACCATTATAAGGTCCCTATTAAATCATATATGAGTATAGGAGTATACATTCAAAATAGAAAGAAAATGCATAGCAAGGAAAACTCCTGAACAACAAGCATTCAAGGAAGTATATTTGGACATAACAGTGAATCATAACAGAGCTTGGCACATTAAATTCAAATGACAAACTAAGTAGAAGAAAATAGCAGCAATGAGGAAAAATGCCATAAGGATCTTTTTTACATTGCAATTGCAAATGAGTTGGAAACTATAGAGAAGGTAGAACATACAGATGTCTTAGGCAACTTGTATATAGAACAGACAAAGGTACCTCAATTGGGGCTATGTTATGTTGCTTGAATTTGCTCTTTTTGTATGCAATTACCATGGTTCCCCAACGATACGGAGCTCCCCAAATGTTGCCAGAAGGATCCAACTCCCCCTTTACATCCCTGCACAAGTGAACCTGACAAAGACTTCAATAAACTGATTAAAAGATGATGAAGTAAAAAATCAAAATAGGTTATATAAGAATTTGATTTCATCAATAATTAGAAGCAGCAACATGACCCTGTCAGTTTCTAAATTCTAATGTCAACTTCAATTTTATCCTAAAAGCCAGAATCAATGCAATGAAATGTGTCCCATTCTAGCTTCTTGTACCAGACAAAATTTATGCAAGCGATGCTTAAGATTGATTACATGAGCAACCAACAAAACCCTTACACTGTTAAGTAGATGTGTTCTAGCATGTTGATTTCTTTTATGGGATGACTAGGTGGATGCTTATTATTGGCTTGGCTCACTAAAATCACTATTAATTGTTGCTCACAAGAAAATTTTCCCTTGTTATAACCATCTGTCTTCACTTTTTTCTAAAGATCCTCAAATCTGAAAGTTAAAACCTTTTTGGTAACATACCCCATACAATAAAATAGAAAACAAAACTACAACATTGAAATCCAAATCGGAAATTAACATTTTGGTAGATGCAAATAATAGGGCATAAATTAGAAGTCAGTCTTAATTGAAAGAAAAAAAGGAAGTATTGCACTTAGTAGATCTCACCTTCCATTTGTTACCCAAAGACTTGAACCAATCTTGTTCTTTTACGTGAGGTATAGGGTCAATTAAACCCCTCTGAATAGCACTGCTAAGCCAAGAGTCACCCAAAGAAATAAGATCAGCTGACATGGCAGATTTACGGTTCAAAAAACCTTTATCAAAAGCTAAATTCAGCTCAGAATATATGGATTCGAGACTTCCACGGAGCTCAGTATTCATCTTTAACCTCCTGCCTTGCGCTTGAACAAAATCCTAGAGGACACAAATAAATGGAACACAACAGTGTCATAAAACATATTTCTGTTTCGAAAGAATTGCAATGCAGTGCAACCTTAAGCCAAGATGGAGGCACTGAGCTCCGTAGCGCAACTATCCGCAGAGGAACCGTCAAGGCAAAGGTTTTGGACTTCCACTGTTCAAAGGAAACTCTAAATTCCTCATCCTCCTCTTCACCAGCAACAGAACTTGATTCCCCAGTGGAAGGAGTTTCTGAAAGTTGCAGAATTCGCACTAATATGGATGAATACTTGCATAATTAAATAAACCTTGATTCAAATCGAGCCCTTATACGGAGAGGCCCATGCTTATGATATGCATGTTAGTAATAGTAGACCTGATGCTATAGTAGCCGCGGTGGGAAGAAATAAAGAAGGACCCAGGGCGAAGGTGCGCGCACGAAAACAAGCGAATAAAACTGTGGAGGCGACGACATGAAAGACCAGCAGTGGGAAATGGCTTGGCGCTTCCGAACAGGGAGGAAAAGGCGAGTTAGAATGCCTTGGAAACATTCCTGCGCCATCCGACGAGGCGGAGACAAAGGAGAAGAAACGACGACTCGCCTTCGGGAGGTAAATGAATAAAGGAGATCGAGAAGCAAGAGATGTAGAACTAAGACTATGGCTTTGGATAGATCTAGGGTTCGAAAAGTGGAGGTCGATAAGATGGGGAGGAGAAGAGAGGCGAAGGGAGAGAATGGCCATTATCAGCGAAGGTCTAAGCAGTGAATAAAGCGAACTGGACTCGGTCACGCTCAGGAGAAACTATTTGGTGAGGAGTCCGGACGTAACTATATGGGATTTTCAATTGGATTTTATTTTTCATTTTTGGCTTATCAGTCTGTTCGATCTGTTTCATAATATTTTTTTTTTTTTTTAGAATGAGGTATTCATCCACTGCAATCTTTTTGCAACCCCAAAAGGATGCTTGGAAGAGGCACCCACCCCAGAAACCTCATGGCCTGCACTTGATTGGGCCAAATTTTAGAGGCACTGTCGTTCGAGGGGAATCTAGCATGGGTTGGGGGTTCACAACCATACTAGCCCACTAACCAAGCTAAGCAACGTGGGTAAATTTTTTATTTTTTGAAAAGGCGTTTATAGTTGGTATTCCACTTTAAGAGAAAAGCCTAGAAAGTCCCCAAATTTAAATATACAGGACTTTTCATATATGCTCATAGAGAAAAAATGAGGAACAGCGTTGCAATGTTCGAGGAGATGAAATGCTCACAGGACACGAAGGCTGAAAGGAGGTATGCAAACGTTCATGAATCGAAAGTTAATTTGATTGGAACTACTGCATGTTTCAACTTATCGATAAATTTCTACCTCATCCCATGTTGTTTGAAGGGTTTCTGATGTTTTATAATTTTCTAAAGTTCTAAAACAAAGATGCGTAGAAAAAGCACATCAATGCTCAGAACAAGCGCATACAAGCACGTAGAAAAAGGAAAAGAGCACTGTGCATTTGCTACTGCGCTTTCTCTGTGGATTGTCATCGTGCTCTTACTGCACTTCCACGGCGTTTCCACTATCCTTTCATTGTGTTTTTGCTGTCATTTTATTGCGCTTTTCATTATGAATTCGTTGCGCTTTAAATATGTTTTCATTGCACTTTGCACATCTAAAGAGAAACGAAAGTGCAGTGAAAGCGTAGCTGAAGCGCACTAGAAGCTCGGCAAAAGTGCAGTGAAAGCGCAGTTAATCTATAGTTCTATCATTTCACTGCGTTTTTGCTACACTTTTACTGTGCTGTCACTGGGCTTTGTTGCACTTTGAATGCACTTTTGCTGCGCTTTTTTCTATACTTATGTTGCGCTTTCGATGCACTTTTACTATGCTTTCGGTGCACTTTTGCCACACTTTTCATTGGGCTTTTGCTACGCAGTGAAAGCATATTAAATCGTAGTAAAGGCGCGGTAAAGCACAGTGAAAGCACATCAAATGCACAATGAAAGAGCAGTAGAAGCGTTGTGAAAGTGCAGTTATCTGTAGTTATATCATTTCGGTACGTTTTTGTTGCGCTTTCACAATGCTTTAATATGCTTTCGCTGCGCTTTCACTATACTTCTCTTTATATTCACCTTGGAGAAGAAAGAAAAGCACAGTAGAAAATGAAAAGGAAGAGCAGTGAAAAGTACTATTTAAAAATGTACTTAGATATTTTAATGCTATGTAACCTAGTTTTGAAAACTTGAGAAATCGATATATGAATTTATACCATGAAAGCAAAAGCACAATTAAATCTCAGTGAAAACGAGGCTAAAACGAACAAAAATAACTCAAAAATTTTGAACTTATGTAACCTATTTTTTAAATACAAAAAAGTTAATATACAGTAAAAGTGCAACAAATGTGTAGCAAGTTCTTGTACATGTTTGTAAAAGAAACGAACTTTTGCAACGTCTGAAATGCCGAAGGATTGGAAGAACAACGTATGGAATACCGAACGAGATAAACTGAACAATGAAAAATGTCCTGTGCAAATGACCTAGCTTCGAGTCTTTTGAACTTCTATGAATTCAAATTTTTTGGATCGGGCGGGGTTGAGTCGAACGTGTTGACAAGACATAAATATATAATAAACAAAATCTAATCAAACATCCACTTCTCCTTCACGTATCAAGATTTAATTAGAATCTGAACGCAGAGCAACGTACGGACTCCGCACCAAATAATCTCATGGGTTGTTTGGTTTGGTGAAATTTTAAGGAGCACGCTATTACATTAAATTAAGAGAAGAAATATATAACAAATAAAAATTCAAATCTGAGCAAGTTTATCATTCAGTTGGGAGAATTGAAAAGATTGCATTAAAATATTTGATGTATTCTGAATGAGCTAAATGTTTTGACGCATTTTATTGAATGCACTAAAGGTTTTAGCACATTTTAGATAGTCAAAATTAATTATAATTTGTAATAAAAATAATGAATCATATGTTATTTAGTTATATATTAGTATTAAAAATAAATGACTTAAAAGTGTAGATTGTAAGTAAAATAAATAATGCATTAAGAGAGTTTATCATTATTAGATAATAATAAGAATAAATTAATTAAGAGAGTATATTATAATTTTTTTATTAATTAGAATAAATGTATTTGATGATCATATGTTATTTAGTTATAAATTCCTATTAAAAATAAATAATTTAAGAGTGTAGATTGTAAGTAAAATAAATAAATGTATTAAGTGAGTAGATTATTATTATTATTATATAGTAATAAAAATTAATTAATTAATCTATTCTCTTAATTAATTTATGATCATCAAAAACATTTATTTTACTTAATAAGAAAAAAATTACTCCTTAATTAATTTATTTGATTACTATCGAATAATAATATACTCACTTAATGTATTATTTATTTTCCTTACAATCTACACTCTTAAGTCATTTATTTTTAAAGTAACTATAATCCACACTCTTAATTCATTTTTTAATAGCAATAAATTATATTAAACTTGATGCATTCATTAAATTAACATTACTTAATAAATAAAATCTACTCTCTCAATTCATTTTTCTTTATTGCTAAATATTTTTAATCTAAACTTAGACTTCATTTATTTTTATTAACAATTACTTATATTTTACTCTTTTAATTCATTAAATTAACCTCTTCTAATTACTTACAATATACTTTCTTAATTCTATTATTTTATTACTAATAAATTTTTATTTTATTTCTTAATTTTTTTTCAAGGGCAGCTTTGAATGCATCAAAATTTTTGGAGCATTCAATAGAATACATCAAAATTTTTGACACATTCAATAGAATGCATCAAAATTTTTGGAGCATTCTGAATGCACCAAACGTTTTGGTGTATTCTAGCGTGCATTCAATAGAATGTACCAAACCTTTTGGTGCATTCTATTAAATGCACCAAACTAAATGGTTATTATCGAGAGCAAAACACATTCATTTATAACAATAGGTAATCACAAAATTTACAAACATAAAAATACAACACAATATAGATAGGAATTAAACCACTATGAACTGCAATAAAATCAGCTAAAAAAAACCTAAAGAAACTAACAAAGAATCAAATATTAAAAATTATGGACTCAAAATAAGTCATAATAAATAGCACTAAACAATCCTAATTGTGGAGAAGACTGTTCACGGGTTAACAGCTCAAAATAATTGGCAAAAGCCCTTTCATTTATCTAGTAAAGAAGACCCCTTGGCAGCATCGCCAAGGAGCCCAAGTCGCATTTTAGCCTAAATAATTGTGTAAATAGTTTGACACACAATATATTGGCAATTGATCTTCTTACCAAACCTTCTTTCACTTTGGTGTCAACAAATGTAATGAACAATGTAACAAATGAATAAATATGCAATGTTGTTAGATGTATTAATAGTAAAATCATGTATCTCTTCAATGAATTCAAAATTCTAAAACGGGTTGGATCATAGTAGGAAGGAAACAATCATAGGTATGATCAAAAGCGGAACCGGCCTTAATTCTCAGGGGGGCAAACTTATAAGTAAACAAGCATAATTTTTTTTTTTATTAATCATTCAACTTCTACAAAATGTATGTTGGAGTTGCCTTGAATTTGGCTCGACCTCTATTTATTCATATCCTTAATATTTGGCCTGGTCATATCGCGAGGTCAAGGGGCGGCGCCCCTGCGGGGGTTTCCGGGGGCAGCGCCCCCGGAACATATTTTGGTTGTAAAGATATTTTTGGATTATCTTTACTATTTCTCTTTGTATTTAACAATTGTGTAAAGACCATAGTATTTTAAAATGTTTATGGGGGCAATTGCCTAAAAACTCTTATAATAACACATCCACACAATGTGTATAATTTTTCTTGGGGGGCAATCACCTAAAGATCATAGTATTTTATTTTTTTAGGGGTGGGGGTGCACAATTGCGTAAAAACTCATATAAATTACCTAAAAAGTCATATAATAAAAAAAAATTAGGGGGTGGGGGGGGCCTGAAGACCATGGGTTCCGCCCCTGGGTATGATTTGCTAAGGATATAGAAGTAGCCTTCACCTTTTTGGGGATATTGGGTATAGAGAAGAAATGATTGACATCCTTAAACACATGGTCACTTACTACATCTCAATAAGTGGCATAAAAATTAAACGTGTAACTATTGCGAATCTATGGTTTATGATTTTGATGATAGCAAACATTCCTTATTTCTCTACGATTGCCTTATGTGCTAACGTTTCAGATCCACACGATCAGACTTCAATATGGAACCAGCTCAAGATTGGGTAGACTAGGTCTGTGTCAGTTTGTAATCTTTTTCTTTTCTTGAGTCTGTTATATTTGATGGGGCATCTGATGATTTGTAACTTGGAAGATTTTCTATTGTGAGCTAAAAGATTTCTATTTTTTGTAACATCGTCCGGGACGATCTGACAAAAGTAGAAACCTTAATTAGGGCATCCTCATTAAAGCAGCCGTCTTTATGCAAAACACATCGTCCTGGACGATTTTGTATCGGCTTTGACGATCGGCTCAATTCAGCAAGAATCTGCCGCCATATCTACATAGGAAAATCTTATTTTTTGGATATCGTCCTGGTATATCGGCCTGGACTATAAAATATCACCTTGCCGATCCAGGTCAATTTTTTCAAAATTTCTCAGGCAGTTTTGGAAAGCAATTAATGGGGATTTCGTCCAGGCCGATCGCAAGATCATCCTGGACGATTAGATATCGTCCAGCTTCATTTCAGGGCAATATTCAGGACGATTTTCCTCATATTTGAGCTAATCGTCCAGGACG